CATAGAATAGACTTATATTATATTTATTAACATCCTTTCTTCACACAACTTATATTAAATATCTCTATTTAAATATTGTATTTCCTGTGGTCAATATACAGTCGTTTGCAAATGTATGAACTTCCTGTTTTTTAGAAACAGATTGTCAGCCTCTATATTGCACGCGCACGTTTTCACACTTCGATGTCGGCACTTACGTAAACTTGCAGCTTAAGATAAAGTTAACTTAGGGAGCCGCTGTCAAACAATTTCCCCACCAAAAGCAAAATAGATATCTTAAACGTATCGCTCCTCGTCGCTGTGAGGGGGCGCAGGGGCACTTCTCAAATCATCTTCTATGCGCAACCTCATAAGCAACCAATGGAGCCGAGCCCCGTGTTTTCGAAAGTGACTCATTACTAACACGGTCTCACCACTTCTTGTGCATCATCTGTGTGTTTGTCGCCAAGCAGTGATGTCACTTGAAGAGAACTCACACGTAGTTCATTCCCTGTGGTAATCGTTTGCCACCGGTACATGCCAAAGATATTAGCAGGAGAAAAAGCAAGCAAATGTCGCCTGTGGAACGCCGCACATACGCACTATTAGTTAGTTCTTCACGCTCTGGTCGTCAAAAATACGGTCCTATTTTGGTGCTACTGGACACGGACGGTCAGGGTTTTGCCACAGACCGCCAAACACCTACAATCCTGATTAGGACATTGATAGACGTGTTTCGGTTCTGTGTTCGTCTCGAAGATCAGCTTCGACCGTTGACGATGGCGGTAACGACGCATTGGAATCGTTCTGAACGCCGCCGGCGATTCGGCTCTTGTTGAATCCTGGCCAAGTAACAATAATGTTTGACAACACCTGCTGATTCGGCCGTCGGTGACAATAACCTGATCGTTCGCGTAGATCGTAGCTACGGTAGATACCCACCTAGACCGCCCACTTGGCGTCGTTAACTGTCGCTGCTGTTGCTGTGACTTGTTTGAAACGCAGACACCGCGTCCCCGGGGTGCCGATGCCGAGAATGATATGGGGTCGAATTGAATCACCATAAAGGCGCAGGTCTATGGTCACTGACAGTGCGAGAGTGCGGGACAAGCACAGCACGACGAAGTGGAAAAAAAGACCCCCGGCGGGAATGACCCCTCACCAAAACAGGAAGCTGCCTGGTTTGGACTTATCGTATAGCTACGTCTATGTAGTTCAATGAGTCATCACTAGGTGGCTTTGGAGTCTAAAACATTAGTATTGATTACTTCAATGTCTGTGTCGATGCAAAATATGCGAGTGGCAGATCTTTTTATTAGAAGAATAATATTATTAATAAGTTCGGATTACGCATGCAAACTGTGTACATACTTTTCATTTAACCATAGTATGCTGTCTCTAAGGGGCTATTAACCCAGATAGTTTAGCTAAACAATGTCCTCTCAGCCTGTTCGATTGTCGCTTTTCTTTTTAAAAAAGCTTTTTTTGCCGCTATCGTGTCCCCTTTACCGAACAAGAAAAACGTTGTTGACACAAAGTTCAACGCGAGGTTTACAGTTTCAGCTATCATTAGCTAGCGATAAACCATAACACCCCTACGAATCCTACATCAGCGTACCCATCATTTGAGAAACGAAAATCGAGCACGAGTTTTACCTCTTTGGACGCCATTTTCCTTTTCCGGCGATCGGAATTGCCGTCGCAGTTGCTTTTATCGCATATATATATATATAGTTCTAAGGTGGTAACGAACACACTCGAAGGCGGCTACCGCTCGTGAATTTCAACTGTGATACGGTTGTGCTAGTTATAGAATGATCCGACACTGAACATTCCGCTTGTCGCTTCTTTATCTTGTCCTGTCTTGCTGCTTCGCTGTCTACCGAAGTGTCAGTCGTTGATGTCGTCGTCGTCGTTGGCGAGACGCCCTTCTGGTAGCTAGCTAGCTAGCTATTATCTGAGCGGCGGTCGATTGTAAGTCTGCCCTAGGTGACAGGGTCGAGATAGCGGTCAGCATTAGCATCAGTATCAGCAACGACGCCAGAAGTTGCCACCTTCGCTCTAGTTACTTCTTTTTGGGGGCGGAAAAATTGTGTTTTCAACAAGAAGCATAGAGAACTACTGCTACATCTCAATCATGATGGACCATCAGGCCACCGGCGGACGTCCACAATTAGAGGCTTAATAAATTCTATAAAAGTTGTTTGTCCGATGTCCTTCCACCATTCAGTTTGCATCGTGTCCTGTTCGCGAGAACTGAATATGCGCAAGATAATAATGATAAAAATATCGTGTATATGATATTAACATGTATCTCTTAGTGTTCATATAAAGAAACGTGTTTGTGTTACTGTTAAGTGATTTTTTCCACTTGTACGTCCGCTACGGCTGTTAATCATTCCTTAGATGACTGGCTTGTTCGAACATGAAGCGGAGCGTATCTACAGCCGATTTCAAACCTACTAAATGCCCCTAGGTTCATTACGTCCCCATTGCAGAATAATGGGAACTCCGTTGGGTAGTACCTGTTTTGATTGCTGCTACTGCTTCTGCTCATACCCGATTTTCTCTCCGTAATTTCTTCCTTGGCGGATCGAGCACCTCGGTTCAAGCATCTCCTAAAGGCATCACAGCCGCGTCAAGACTGTAGCTAGATATTATAACATTAGATGCATTACAGGTATAGAGTAGAGGCGACACTCGTGCCCGTTAAATATACGTCTACGGTGAACGATTGATTACTAACGACTCAATGAAATCAACCCAATTATTATGACTGCGTTATCCTAAAATTTTGAAGTTGACGGACTCAAAGCTCATCACTTAGGCTTCATCGTACTGGAATCTGGTTAGTGAGCGCATTGTACGCCTATAGCCAATAGATCCGTCCATTTTCCAGTACAACAAAGAAAGAGGGGAAATGCGGAGAAAAGTGACCTGGAAATTTTGCATGTATCATCAAAAGGAAGTCAAAAACATTTCTATTGTTAGTCGAAACGCGTTTCGTTATAATGTTGAATTTGTCAATTAAGTAATTTTCGCGGCTTGTAGCAGTGTCAAAACTGTGATCCGAGGGTATCTACACTTTATCGTCACGCCTCTTATACGATATAGCGGCGATTAGGGCGAAGAACGTTACCAGACCTCAGTGACCCATAGAGACGAAAAATAGCCAGCGGTGTATGGCTATCGCTCGCAAAGCCAACTTTATTGTCGTTGGTATTGATTTTTGATTACTCTGCTACCGGCTAGTAAAATCGGACCTAAACGTAATGGAGACTTGCGTATTATGAGGGTAGCGGAAACTTCGAGGTTGTTGAACAATCAGACATCCTATTTTTTTGATGCTCTTACAAATTGCAAGACTAGCTTCAGGTTGCAATGATTTCCTTCTAACAAGCAGAAAAATGAATAACAGTAATTAATTAATTAATTGGGCTTGATGTCAACAAAGCAGATATACTACATTTATATTCTGGAAGCAGTAGCACAGACTGCTCAGACACGTAAATGAGATACAACTGAAACTCTCTAAGTCATTGTCACCTGCGCCGCCTGACACATCGTCTTCTGGCTGATCATTAGAACCAGCCCACCTTAATGTCTATCTACAATATTAGTTATCATCGTTATTCTGTCAACGCCGTTGTAACTGGACATTATCAAAGTGACAATGTACTCGACTTCGGTCGACCCTTTATCGTTTTCTCAATGCATTTCGTGGTAAAAACGCAGGGATAGTGCTACTTTTCGAGGCCGTCCTCCGGTGACCATCACCGACGCCGATGTCTGCCGAACTCAGCCGTACGAAGCTTTAATGGCGGAATCGACTCTACGGTTGTTTCCGCTGTCGGCGAAATCGTCGAGGACAAAGATTCTGCCTTATGACGCTTCTCTTAATGAGCGATGAGAGGTCAAATCAGAAAGTGTGATTAAAGTCTTGTTTGTCTTTCCATGCTCTGTACGTTGTTGATGACTTCGATTAACCAGTTCTCTGGCTCAACTTGCCGCCGTTTGCCGATAATCGGTCTACCTTTCGGCTATGGCATCTAAAAAAGATCTGAGTTGAACCGAAATGATCTGGGAGCCGCCCCGATTTTCCTAGTAACACAGCTCATACCGATGATGATGATAATAATAGAAACGCGTGCACTGGTTCTCGTCTGAAATCGAACGTGTCTATGAGGAACTCCATCTTCTCTAAAACTCTCTCGAGTCTTAGACTGTCGTCGGTCTGTAGCGCGATAAGTCTCGTCCAGTACGTAGAATCCGTCGAGATCTTAGAGCCGTGATGACTATCTAAGCTCGGACGATAATCTAACGCCAACGATATATTGCTTATAAGGTGGCTTGCTAAGCTCTGGCTAGTCAGCAAGGTGAAGGCAACAAAACGTGTCAACATCATGAAATTTATGAAGAACATTAACTGCCTATAAGGGACGGTTAAAAGAAGACAACAAACACGAAGCTTAATGACACTTTCTTGAAGGTCGAAAGAGAGCATGTGTATTTATTCGATGGAAAATAAGCTGGCAAAAATAAAACTACGATTAAAGTAAAAATGAGGTGTACGTCGACTGACTATAGAAGACTTCCGCAAGAAAACGCTGTTTCATGTTGACGGTGATCTTGGAACATGCGAGTCTGCAAAATGTTACACGTCAGTAAACGGAAACTACAGATAATGTCTAGAGGCCAGTGGGAGCTAATAGATATAGCAATATAGACCGCACCACGTTCCGGGTATTGCCTTGTTCGGCATGTTATCCCTACGGTAACGTCTACCCCTGAATAGCCGAGGCCTGCTTTTGTAGCAGCGAGTATCACACACTTCAAGGTGGAGTCCTGAATTAGGGTAAGAGCACCAAATCGCCTGACCAACATGACTATGAGGTCGCGCAAAATTCTCAGAAGGTACCAATCAAAAAAAAAAAAGGCAAAATACCTACACAAAACAAAAATTCGATCTTTTAAAAAAGCACAATAATATATATAGGTTGTATTCGTTTAAATCTACTTACGAATCCGTGCTTATCAGAAATATTGTTAGTGAGTTTAAGCTTATGGAACGAGACGACTTTATGCATCCATTGCTCGCCAGTCGCAGGAGAATCCGGATGAATGTACATTCGTTTCGGCATTTCAGGATCAGCTTTGCCAGCAACGACCCAGCGACGATTCTGGAACTTGTACCTACAATCGTCGCCCGCCACGATGTCCATCAACATCACGTACTTCGCCTTCTGATCAAGACCGGATAAGCGCACTTTGAACGGTGGAAACATGCGCCTAGTTTCAAAGACAACGACAAATCACAAATAAACTATAGTTAAGGTTTTATAACGGTGCATCATCTTACGGTTCAAGATTTTCTGGGTTTCAGAATGTCATCAATTGAAGAAGATGGGTAAGATGATCGAAAATATTACTTAATTTTATGCAAACTACAAAGACTACATGCTAAGCCATTCAAAGATTAATCGGATAGAAAATAAGCTTGAGAAGGATAGAGCTATTCAGGATGTATCTAGATAAAATTCATCAGCGAGCTTTACTGAACAGGGAGAATAGGAAAGTATTACCCAAACATCCCAAAAATCTGTAAAATAGTCAAATTATGAGCCTAGCATATAAGTATTAATTATATGTAACTAAAAATTGATGTTTTTATACGTATATTTCGATTTTTTTTACACTTTTACATACAAACGAACGTTACGCTGTGACAGAGAAGCTTCAATAGGTCACAAAGCACACAGGTTTCTGGAAGAATCGCCCTCTGGCTCATGTAGCATTGAAACGTCTTCAGCTAATTATCTCTAGCATAAAATTAATCTAACTATACTTATCGCACGTCCTTCATGCCGACTTGGCACCTTATATCTTCCGGGCATCATTGGATATTTGAGTGTTTACATTAGCAAATATCGGAGACAAGGAGCTATCTTCGCCCATCTGCATTTTAACATCTGCTTGAATAGAAATTCCTGGCCACGTTTACCATTTCATGGTTCTGACTATTTTATGAATTCGACTTAAGCGTAATTGGCCATAATAATAAATCTAATATTCTAATGCCCCCTCTTTCAACTGCCGATCATGCTCGTGCTAAGGACGGAAACATGCACAATTACGGATAATCATATATATATACTATAAGATGAAAAAGAAGACAATGATAGCAATAGTGATAGGTAACAGCCAATAGTGTTTCTAATATATCGCTCCCATTTCATCTTGCGGCTTTATTGTCAGCACATCATCCCACAGAAAGAAGCCTTTTTGACATGGACCTACTTGATCAACGAGGAAATTATGCACTCCTCTATTATAGCTAACAGAACTGTTATACGGGATCGCACGGTGAAGCTTTGATAGTATGAGGATTACCGGGTATTTTGTCAAGAAAAGCTCTCGAACGAAGTCGAGTGAGAATGACTGTAATCAGGGTCATCTCGAGGCGTGTTTTCCTCGATTTTATCTGCAGAACCCTCCATTAGATACGTATATATTAGAGATGTATAGTACTACGGTAGAAACACAAACACATAGAAGTCGCACCTCGTTGATCCCTGTTCACCATAAGTCGCACCATCGTCATCATCAGCAACGTCGTCGGTGCCTGATTTCGGCGACTAAAAAAACTCCAATTTGCGTGTGGTCCTTGTCCAGATGGCCGCACGTAACGCAAGTAAATGAGGGAAAACGAAAAGCGAGGCAGGACATAAAAAGGACGATTCCAGGTCTTAACGCATCATTCCACTCCCTTTGCCATATACCGAACACTGAGGCAGCCATCGGCCGGATCTCACTATTTCCATCGCCATATTAATATCGGCATGATGAAACGCGCACGTAAAGATACTCTTCGAAAGCATTACATTTGTACTATCCCGTACGTGCTCCTTCTACTGTTTTTTCAGTGGACGAATGCAGTCAGATTTGTTCGGATCACTGCTAACATTGCTGTCATTGTCGTTGATTATTTTGCCAACACCACGCCGCCGTCACCGTTGGCAACCTGCCGAAGCTACCGTTCTTGCCGCCGCAGCCGCTGGTATACCGAACCGTCAACGGTGGCCGTCTCGTCATACGCAGAGGTCGTATCGAAGATGGTATTCGCGTAGCCATAATGCAGCCAGCTGTCGCCTATTGTTCGCACCTACTGCAGCATTGCTTCCATTTGGCATTGACGCTTATGGTCGTCGTCGCCAATGAATGTTCCAGTTCGGGTATTGTACATTGCATATATTGTAAACGAGCTAATGGAACAACAGAGCTGAGCTGATGGCTTCATCCGCATAATGTGGACGGCAGGTTTTGGTCCTGCCGATATTCGCTCGCGTCTTGATGCGTCGTGTCTTCTTTGCTATCGCAGATACGTTGGCGACCCATATTGTAGTCCAATCAAAGGGGTTTTTTCCGGGGGACATCTATCAAGAGAGCCCCTTCCAGAGGAACGTTATCAGACAGATATGAACTGATATATTGCCTGTCGCAGACTAATGTCTTTTATAAATGCTTGTTATTGCTAACTGTTAGAGCAGACTATCTTCAACTCAGCTGCGGATTGCCTGAACCGCCATTATTATTATGATCCCCTTTGGTAGCAAACATATGTTCGGCGAGGGGATGGCAGGTTAGATATCCGTTCCTAATGTACGGCGAAAGGCCGGACAGAAGAACGTTGCTATCAAGCGTTGCGTCAGGTTAGAAAAGCTATGCAAACTAATCTTGATCATTATCCGATTGGTCAGATCAATATAAATAATAGGAATTGTCTAGGCTGAGTAGTCTTGGTGTGCGTTAACCTCGAGTAGATCTTAAATCTCTTTTCGTATCGTCACCTCAAATCGATACGTGGCTTGCTCATTTATTTCGGCCATCTCCGTGGAGCTCCGCGTAAATCGCCGCCACATCACCTCTCACCACGATCAGCATCGCCACCGTTCGCCGGCACGTCGTGCCATCTCTAGCCTTATTGTTCCCAGTTCCTTTTTCCGCTTTCTTTATTGCGTTTGTTCCCAGTGCAAATGAGGCCTGGCATCGCTATTCAGTATTAGATTGACTGGGTAAGGGCCGACGCCGCCGAAGTCCGTAACTTCACCGCCTTCGTCTTGCTCGCGACTTTATAACGGCAAGTTTTTGCGTTCACATCTGTGGCTATGACGCTTATGAACGGTCTTCACGAGCGTTCGGGCACATGTATGATCTGATGATGTTGTATCTGTTGTTGCCATGGTGATGTAATCGTTGAATGTTGCTGTTGTTGTTGTTATGATCATTATTATTCTAAATTTTGAAGAAAGCATGCCACGCCCTACGAACGTGCTGCAAATCTACACATTTTGTCGTCCGCTGGTCGGGCGATGCGGTTCGACTTAAGAGCCCAGCTGGTGTTGGTTTACTCCTTGTACGCAATTCTCCATCGAGCCAAAAAGATTTTACTGCAGCCTGAACAGTTTTTCTCCGAGGGATAGTTGCATTGCAATAATAGCACGATAGATAGATAGATAGATGCCCAGAAGACGCCGACTGAAGATTCTGTTTGGGTTGATTACGCTGTCCCGCCTCTCCCGTTGTGGTCGGGCTCACGGCCGATTTTGCGGAATCCACGCCGGTGACGCGTATACTTCCGCGATTCGCATTTATACGTATAGCCATGTGTAGCCGCTCGTCCGTCTGTTCATGCGTATGGCAGGATTTGTTCGAACGTCGTTGAGAACAACAGTATGACCTCGACGATGGCAACGCTGTTGTCTTTGTCGAATCGAGTAACGAACTAAATATACAAGCCAACAGGCAGCCGTGAGTCAGCCCAAAGCCATGGAGGCACGACGTCACACACAGATATGAATAGATAAAACATGCATGAAGATACTCGGCAGGCCCACAACCCAAAACGGTTACTTTTTCAACTTCCAAATTCGCAATTTCTCCGCTAGTCGTGCCAGTCATCGCCCATCGCTAAATGAAGGGACAATGATTTGTTAGGCAGACACTCGACTTCGCCGACAACGTCGTCGGTGTTCAGGCGTAGCTGGGAACTGAACGTCTACACGCGCCCAGCAGCGTACAAGACGCCCCCGGCTACCGGACATCTCTCTAGCAATCCGTGGCAATACTATACGGTACAGGCTCTCGGCGACTGTGGCAGGAGAAAACAGGTCGAAACTTGTAAGTGATTATAACATACTCACTATTATTGGCTAACAGCGGTCGACTGTAGATTAGTGCATAGGAAAACGTATGAATGTTTGTATATAGTCATTCACTCGGTGGAGATTTTTTTCATCAAGCAAGGCGTGCCTTGATAGTGGTATTACTAACGTAGCGTTCCGTAACGGAAAAGAAATAAGGCGAGCATCAAAAAGTCATTAGACGCATCAGAAGAGAACGTAAGAGCGGCATTTAAATGGACCTTGTTGTCAGAGTCATCAGGTCAAGATGAAAGAAGTTCCGCCATATGGCTAGCAAGATGGTGATGGTGATCTCTGCGTGATGGTACACAGCACACCTGATGCTTTGGTACACGAAAAATTTCGAACGATAGTGTATTGCTTTAAACTTGATACCTACTAGAAGTATAGAAATGTTTATTTTGTGATACATATAATCGCTTAGATACGGGTCCTTTTCAAAAATCGCTTTATATAGGAAATCTCGCTTCAGTTTGAGGTTGATTTTAAACGGCAAGACACGTATGGCTCAGACATACAGAAAAATACTAGGCATTTGTGACGCTGTATGGTGACGATGATAATCTATCATTGCGAAACATATCCTGTCCTCAGCTCTGCCGGAGCTGCACAGTAACTCAACCAACCGAGAAATAGGGAATATGTGCTGCGTGTATATAAAATCTATCGGCATTTTCCCAACACAAGACCAGTCAGTGTTCGCATTAAGATAGTACTTTAGCAAGTGGGGGCTTTCGAGCGAACTTACCGCGTGCTCTTAGTACGCTGTGTACGCTATAACGTAATTGATCTAGTTCGTCAAGTCAGCACCACATAAAAAAACCTGACGATGGTTAGTCGGTGATCTCATCATCTCTATATATTCACAGCTATCCTCTAGCACTTAAACCAACCGATAATTAAAACTGAAAAATACGCGAGAACTTACCAGCCCACGCAAAAATGGCACCCGTAATAACGACGTGCTGTTTTAGTTACATCTTTTATATTTAGCTGTTACTCATATTGCCTGTATAAACACGACAGATCTGACAGAAAACAACATGTCACCTCATGGATTGTCTGTTGATTAGGTTTGCCGCTGAGGAC